CCCAGGGCCTGGGTGGGGTGTGGGAGAGGGGAGACCAGGCCTGTGGGCTCTGATGAGTCAATCACAGAAGTCCCAGCGAGGCCGAGAGCAGAATGCTGGAGAGTACAGAGTACTCTTCCCATGAAGGAAGGTTTCTCTCGCATCAGTGTCGAAGCAGTTTTGAAGGAGGAAAGGGTGAATGAAGAAACTTTGCAATAAAAAGAAAATAATGAGGGCCTGTCCAGCGGAGAGGAGTAGGTGTGTCCTAAAGACCTTTGAAGTAGAAGCAACTCAGTCAGGTAACTGTGTCTGCAGGCAATAAAGCAGGAGTCGGAAGGATTCCGGACCTGAGTGGTCTAACCAAGGAAGGAGGTGTCTGCAGAGGTGGGAAACCTGGTGCTGGTCTGCCCTTGAGTGAAGGGCACCCTGAGGGCAAGGCCACAGCAGCAGCATGTGAGAAGCAGGAGCGAGATGTGTAAGCTGTCCAAGCTCACATCTCTGACACGTTTTCCTTTCCTTTTGAAATAAGGAAGGTTAGAAATGGGAGAGAGTGGTGTGATCTGTTTTGTGACTGTTGAGCTCTTTAGGAAGAAGCCAGGTTGTTATTACCTCTATGTGGAAGAGAGTCTGACCTTTGTGAGAGGCCTGTGAGCCACCTGTCTGATGGGTGCCTGCAGCCTACCTGGCTGCAGGCCTGCTGCTCACCAGGCCTGGGTGGGAGGTGGCTGCATCCTGCAGCCAGAAGTCACCTGAACCTCCTTGGCAGGCACTGAAGCAGGCCCAGAGAAGTCGCACTTGGCAGGAAATAGTTACTAGAGCATTGGGGGAGAGAATGAAGTGTGGCTCAAAGGTACAAAACGTTATTTTTATATGCACATGTACATATATGTGTACATACAAGCTGTGTGTGTCCCTTCTCTGTTGTATGCTCATTGTATTTTCCGCCAGCACCGGCCAGCCCATCATATCTGTTCATCAACTGGCTATGATCTACTAGATTAGCTATTTGGTTCATCAAGTCAGAAAATAATCACCTTTTTCTTCTTTTTCCCTTGATTGCAAGAATATCTTAATTAGAACTCTTACAGAAGAAAGTTGTTGTCTTGAGGGTGAAGTAGTAGATGAAGTATAGTTAATGCTTTTACAACCTTAATACAGATGAAGCTTATAAACTAGATTGGAACCATAAATGGATTGTTATACTTGACATTTTGTATTTTTAGTCATGAAATACTAAAATGTTTGAGTATTAAAAACTAGAAGTCATACTGCCATTTGACCAATACTGTGTTCTCAGATTGTCATAGAAACTTTTTCTTTAATAACTATTACCAAGTATTTGATATGATTGTGTGGATTATTTGATTATACTCTTTGAAAGCAGAATTAGGGAACTTCTAACCCCGGCATTAGAGTTGGCCCTTAATTCAGTTTCCTCTGACCTTTGGAGAACATTCTCTGGGATTATGCAAAATGCAGGAAAAAAATCAAGTGTGTGCTTTGGCTTTCTGGATTTATATTTTCTATTTTAACTTTAAAAGCATATGTCACTTTTTCTTCCTCTTAAAGCAAAATCATTAAGTTGCATATGATTTTGAAATTATTTTTCAATTCTCTCTGCTGCCACAAGATTAGCATTCCTGTTTTAACAATATATAGTTCGTTCGTTCTTTCTTTCTTTCTTTCTTTCTTTCTTTCTTTCTTTCTTTCTTTCTTTCTTTCTTTTTGTATTTTAGGGAAGGGTCTAGAGGGTGTTCAGGGTCTCACTGCTAGGTCAGACTCACAGTGATCTGCCTGTTTACAACCTCCCAAGAGCTGGGATTACAGGCGCAAGCCACCACGCCGTCTCAATTGCCATCTCAGCACCCCCCTGGGGGCAGGGCTGACAGAGCAGGCCCAGGGATCAAACCCCCAGCCCCTGTGCCTGCTTGCAGGTGCTTTAACCTGCTGAGCTATTTGGCTGGTCCTAACAAGATATATTTCTGTATCTCTGAAAGGAAGGTCAGTAATGCCTCCTTGTTGTGAAGTCCTCTCTTAGATTTCTCATCAACTTGTTTTTGTTTTTTGGTATATCTTATTTTTCATTTTTTCCCTCCCCTTAGGGCTAAATTTGTCTATGTTTGAAAAGTTTTTCTGATCTATAGGAGAAACTTGACTGGCGAGTTTCTCATACTTTATGAATGTCCAAAATCTTTCATTCACCTCAAATAGGCTGTGATATGATTAGTAAAATCCTTTTAAGGAAGATGATTGAATGATTTATGGATTTCCAAGCAAATTTCAGATTAAAATTCTTCCTAGAAAGATAAATCAAAAGGGAAAGAGGAACTATGGAAGAGCCAGCTCTGAAAGTAGGGAAGGATTTTGGCAGAGATCATGTGCTAAGATTAATTTTTTAAAAATTATTATACTTGTCTTTATTTGTGCAAATGAATTATTTCAAGGCAGTTAAAAGCAAAAAGTGCTCTTAAAATTATACCCACAAACCTGCGGTCTGTCTCAGTAATGGTATCTATCACCCAGACCACCTACATACAGGGTGGTGAGAGTCTTATCCTCCGGCAGGTCGAGACGAGGCGTTGTGGAAGCCCGCCTCAGAAGCTTACCTGCTGCAGCGTCACTGATTCCATAACATCCGTCTTTAATATTCTGATCAGCAAGGGGGTCATCGGGGTCTGTAGGCTTCTGGCATCAGTACGGACAATCTTTCCTCTCTTACACTCTCCTTTCAGCCAGAAGGAGCAAATGTGGTGCCAATTCCTTTTGTAGTAGGATGTGGTCCAGGCCAGTTTAAGCAACATGTCACTGGCAGACGTGGCTTTCCCCAGCATGCCAACTGGCTGTGTTCCATCAGAGTTAGAAATTTCTCTCTCCATATTCTGTGTGTTGACATCTGATTTTGGCATGTTGTCTTTAGAAGACAGTCTTGCATCTCGAACCTGGATGGGCAGGCCATATTCTAAGGGGCAAGTCTGGCAGACATTCTTTAGTGTCCTGCAGGTTGGGCACACTTCCGTCTTCTTGAAGCACACGTGGACCCCAGGATGCCAGCGCAACACTGTGAATGGCCTGGCCCAGATTTTGCATTCCTTCCCCTACTTTTCTTTGGTCTTTTGGATATATGGGTTTTCTCCAAGTCGTGTCTGGCATAGAACCGGAAAGTCCGCAGCCTCCCAGTTCTGCCTGTTGTGGGTGCTGGAACCCAGAGAGGTCGCCCTTTTGAGAGTGTTGAGGGACAGCAGTAGATTCTGAGCTGGAGAGCGGACTGCCACCAGATTAATTTTTTAGAACTTAATATTTTCAAAAATTTGCCTTTTTCATATTCTGTGGCTTATGTGTCAGTTTTTGTTAGTAACTTTTTAAACATGTGTATATCACGCTACTAAATACTGGTTAATGACTTTTTATGTCTCATAATAGCCTGTTTCCCAAACATATATAGTACATTATATGCACATAGTGTTACATGTTTACTTTGGAAGGAAGATATTTATATGTCTGTTTTATCTACACAGAGCAACAAACCTATGCACAGAGAATAAGATGGGGATTCATTGTTTTATTTTTAAAGAAAAGGAAAGTGTATGCCACATGTTTGCTTTTTTTTTTTTTAATTCATCTTCTCTTTGAGCCATTTATGTTACCGTATAAATGTTAAATTTATATTTGAAGTCTTTGGTTCTTCAAAATTCTATTTTGTAGATAACTATTATGTTTTTATTGATGTTAGGAATAATTATTCACAAGTTCATCTTAATACAGTTTGAATGTCTTTATGGAAAAACATCAGTATGAACTCAAAGTGTTAGCATTAATGCAAAAAATAATTATTCATCTTGAATCTATTTCTTTTTTCTCCCCCTAATAATTCAAGAAAAACAGATGAAATAGGTAAACAAGCGGGATCCTGGGTTCTGTGATTGGTTGGCATTTACACTGATCTTTCCCATAAGGTGTAATAAAGGGTGACATGTAGAAATGTAATCTCTAAGACAATCCGAGAAAAAGAATCTTTTAAGGACATCTTGTCAGTACTGCATGATGCCCTTTCTGCAACTGTAATTGTCTAGTGTTTCTGTCAAAAGATGTAAAGCTACATTCCATAATAGGGCTGTCAGGGATTTGAGACGTTGTGTTTCTTTTTATGACAGGAAGGTCAGTCCTTTGAAAAGAGGTAGAAATCAACATTTCTCCAGAATTATGTTTCCCTTTATTTTATTGTATTTGATAAATAGGCCACGTATGCACTTTATTTGGAAGTCAGCAGAGGCAGTGAAACTTCACAAATTTCAACTGGCATTGCAGTTTGCAGATAAGGATGGGCAGCTACGCCACTCCAAGAAGATTACATGAGGTAGAATTGGAAAGCAAATTGTATTTACAAAAGATAGGATGATGTTCCTAATAGGTGTTCAGAATAGCCTATCCTTTCTCATGTTCTGCTGAGCTTTACTACAAATAACTTATTTTTGAAAGGACAAATCTAATTGAAGCTGAAAGCATTCCCTCTCCACAGACACTCATCCAAAGGGTTTATGTTAAATTTTCCTGGTGGGTACACAGCAGTATTTTCTGCTGGATCTATTGAAACAAATAGATCTGTGGGGGGAGGATCTAAATAGTATCCTTGATTGCTTCATGCACCAGCCATTAGATTACTAGGTTTATATCTACAAATTGTGGAAGAGATGTTATAATATGATATTGCAACAATAACTGTTGAAATCATAATACAGGGATCTGTTTTCATCTTGTTGTCAGGGTAAAGTTATTAAAATTCACAGATGGTAGGTCAGAAAGACCTACTATCACTGTCATCTGTAGTTTAATGCTGACCTAAATAGCTTCTCTATAATGTCAGAATTATCACAGTGTCCAGGATGCAGAAGTGCAGCATGCGTCATGATTTATTGTGCTTCCTGTCTTGAATGAAGATAATGAGAAGGCCGACAACTGTGAGCTGCATTGGCCCAGAAGAAACTTAATTTCTGATTTTGTTTTCCTCTTTTTTCTCATTTTAGATTTTGGATTTAGTAAAAGGGACACATTACCAGGTAGCCTGTCAGAAGTACTTTGAGATAATACATAATGTAAGTACATTTTTTGTCTTCATAGCCTAATTCTTTGTCATTTGGGTTATTCTGTTTCATTGAAAGTTTTTAGGGGCAGCATTAAAAACACTAGCTATTTTCAGCACAAAGGAATATATTACATGCTATTAGGGAACTTAGAAAATTCATAAAAGGGCCAGAGAACTAAGCATGGCGCCTACTGAACCAAGAACATGATAACTGGAGAAGGTGTATCATGAACTGAATCTCCCTTAGTGCAGATATGCCCACAGCTCTCTATGTAGGGATAAGACCAAGGGTTGAGAAGCCTTCTGTAAAGAGCCATGTTGTAAAATTGTAGGCTCTGTGGTCCATGCGGTCTCTGTCACAGATCCTCAGCTGTGTACAAATTATCAATGAACAGGTGTAGCTATGGATGGGTAGTGCTTTATCTATAAAAATAGGCAGTCAGCCATATCTGAGCCATTGTCCTTAGTTTGCCGACTCCTGGGCTGCATTAGGTGGGGATCCTTTGTCATAGCTACCCAAGAGAACCAAAGGCTTTTCCCATCTTCCTTGCGAAAAATCTGATCCTTCTGCTTGTGGTTGCCCCCATGTTCCTCTAATCTACTTCCCAGGTGTCCCACTCATCCACGTGGTACCACAGAGGCTACATCTGGACCCTAAGCAGCTACACTTAGAGAGGTGTGGTGGTTTTTATACAGCCAGCCTCCTTGATAGACAAAGGCCTGCTGGGTAGCCGCAGTGCTATGTTGCATGTCAGAGAGTCTAAAATGTGCACAACCATGGCCAGAGGTTTGGAGACCTACAGAGAACAGGCAGAGCATTCAGAAGGGCAGAGCTGGCTGAGACTGGAAACGTAGTCTGTAGGAACTGGGGGCCCAGCAGAATGTATGTCCATTAGAGGTGTGAGCGTGGACAAACTCGAAGGCCCCGTGCAAGCAAACAGCACACCTGCACAGCAGCTTCTGCCCCACCCCTAGCTCACAACCCCTGATCCTGAGTGTGAATCCCCACACTCAGGAATGATCTTTGGGGTCCATCGTGTCTTAAAACGTTTGCCTCAGAGCGCAAGGGGCATTTCTGTGGAATCTGTTTGATTTATCTCATTCATAGGGATCCATGGCTTTGCAAAACTGATAATGCTTTTATTGACTTATCAGCAACCATGCTAGTTTTATTTATTTTCATATTTTGTATTAAGTTGTCACAAAACAGATTTCCTATTCTGGTTTATATAATTATAAAATTTCTTACCTGACAAAGAGTTCATTGGAAAAATATCTATGGCATTGACAGTAACTATTGAGATAATAGCACCAGCCAGTGTCTGTAGAACCCTCTAATGCATGCCAGCTCTATCTAATACAAGTTCTTTGAGCACATTAGCTTCACTGAAATTAGGTGATGTCTATAATCCCACTTACGAAGAAAACCTAGAGAAGCTCCACACCTGTGTGTGGTCATGGGAAGGGGCTTGGCTCTGAACCCGGGCTAAGCCATGTGGCTCGTTAGCGCAGCCGTGACTGCACTCTCCCGTTAGACCCACTGATGTATTTGTGAGGACTGCTGAGACGATGCACATTCCCTGTGTGGATCAGGCAGTGGCAAGTGCCGATGAACTGGAGGTCACCTGACTCAGCCTCCTGTCTCTGTACGGAGATGGGCCTTGTGGCTGGCAGTGTCGTACCCAGCCCACCTGCGTGGTCCCCTGGGGAGACCTGGACTGGAGCCTGTCGTCGTGGGCCGAGTCTTCTGCTCTTTCATTTAGCTTGTGAAAATGCCATTCTTATTTTTACAAATTTAGAAGATTAAAAATCAAAAATAACTATAGTAAACAGTGACAGGATCTCTTTGGTTTCTCCAGAATAAGAACTGTAAGATACACCGCATGTGCCTGGCATTTTAGCCCGTGTGGTGGGACTCACTCTCTCAAACACTGAATTTTGTAATTTCCTTGCTCAGCTTGAGAGTTGTAATTTCTTATATGTCTTCAAATATTGGTACTCTTTTAATTAAGAAGTCTCTGAACTCTGAAAAATTGAGGTCTATTATCCAAACTTTTCTTTTTAAAAAAACAATATGAAAATCAAACTTAAATATTGAATTTATGACATAAGCACTAAAAAATAAGGAGTGATCCTTTTAATTCTTCAAATTTGCCTTGGAGTCTTTCTCCTATTGATTATTCCCCCAAGAATATTGCTACTATTGCCAATTTTTAAAACTTGGCTTAGATTCATGAAGATATTGAAAAGATATATATCTAAATCCTTTCACATACGAAAGTACTCAAACTTAAACCAACATAAATCAATGAAATAAAAAGGCTGTTTGTATTCGCTAGATCTCCCAGTATAGATTTTTAGATGTGACTCTCCTTCCATTTATTATTTTTTCTAATTTAATTTAAAAACAGAATTTGTTTTTATTATCACATTTCTGCCATCCTTTCCCCTCCCTAATAAAATCCTAGGTTTATTTTCCTGAGGCCTCTGTGATCAAATTCATTTAAATGAAAGTTTTGAAAATGAACCAGTTAATTGATACCATTTGCAAGAGCACAATGATAGTTCCATATGGCTTTTTTTGTAATACCAGCTGCCTCATTATAAGCTGTCACTGCAAAGCCTCTTGATTAAAACCCAAATATCCCATAGGTGAAACAATATTGCCTCCATTCCGTCAAAGTCTGCATTTGCTGTGACAGAAATATGAGACTGTGCTTTGTGTGAAGGTCATTGTGTGCACAATGTGTTGATTCTGAGCAAATGTTTGAGAGATATTCATTTAGGAGATGTCAGAAGTTAGCTGCTTGAAATCTGTTCTCTTAGTAGTTTTTTTTCCCCCTTCCCTTTTTAGACAGGACCTTGCTATGCAGTTCAAGTTGGCCTTGAGCTCACTTTGTAGGCTGGTCTCGAACTCACAAGGATTCTTCTGCTGCAGCCTGCCAAGTGCTGGGATTATAGGTGTGCACCACCATGCCAGACCTCCTTAGTAGTGTTAGGGAGTGGTGTTTTCATAATTCTATAGTATATTTGGTACTTTTCTCTTGTTTTATATGTGCATTAAAACACTAAATTTTGTGTAGACTGATTTCTGAACTTTAACTGAAAATACTTTCTTTAGAAACAAATCTCTTTGGATATTCTAGACACTAGTTTCCAAATAGCTGAGCATACTTTTCCCATGCCTTTACAGAAATCTTATTAGAACTTACTGTGTATCCTAGGCAGGATATGTGAAATGCATGTAAGCCTTTTTATATTAACTCAGGGTCATCCCTGTAGTTATCATCTAGAATTCTGGCCTAGAAGCTCCTGGCACCTCTCATTTTGGACACTGGAATAGCTCCCTAACTTGTTTCCCAGACTCCACAGTTCCCCATTCCATCGTTTCCTCCCCACACAGCTGCTGAGTGATTTTTTTTTTTTTTTTTTGGTAATAGGGATTGAACCCAGGGCCTTATACATGCAGGGCCAGCAGTTTACCAGCAGTTTATACCCACAGCCCTGGAATAACCTCTAAAATAAATGAGTTTGATTATTTTAGTACCCTGCTTAAAAAAACCTTCCCTGACTTCTCAGTTCTTTGAAGATGAATTCCAGAGTTTACAGGGATGAAATCAGTCCCAGCACATAGATCTGTGTTAGACGCTTTATTGTCCTTGGGATTGTCCAGAGTTATGTATAGTGCTGTAGTTCAGATTGTGACTGTTGCCCCAAGGCCCACGTGCTGAAGCTTTGCCACTGCCTGAGGTGCTGTTGGGAGGCAGGTCCTAGTAGAGCGAAGGTGGGCCATTGCTAGCATGCCTCAGAGGAAATGCTGGGGCCCCAGGTGTCTCTACCTCCGCCTCCCCACTTCTTCCCAGCTGCCATCGTGGGAGCAGCTTTGTTTGCCATGTCCTTGTATGATGATGTACTGCTTACCACAGGCCAGAGCAGCAGAATCAACTATGGCCTGAAACTGCGAGCCACAGTAAACCTTTCCTCTCTATATGTTGTTTATCTGGCATTCTGCCACAGTGGTACAAAAGCTGACTAACAAAAGAGGGCAGCGTCTCCTCTCAGTACGTAACAAAATGTTCAAACATAAACTGAACATCACAGTAGCCGCCAAGCAAGGTAGAGGCAAGGATCAGAAGAACCACAGAAGAGCACGTCGTGAGAACGCGCACCCAGTGTATGTGTTTCCAGGTCTGAAAGGAAGCCACAGAATGTTCCTATCCTTTTCTTCCAAATATGAAAAAAGTGAAATATGAGGGGTTATGATGAGGACATGTCTCTTCATTTTCATAATTTGATTTTAAAGTAAGATTGCCTTTGATTTGTGCTTCGCTTCCTCCAACGCCTAAAGGTTATTTTCCAGGGGTGGAGGGGATACTTCATATATAGTGTGAGAGAAATCCCCAAAAGATGAGTCCAATCTAGAAGAAAATGGAATTCAATAAAAAGAAGGAAATTGTAATCTCATCATGTTATGAAGCTACTCAATAAACTTAACAAAATTAGTTACAAAGAGCAAAGGCTTATCTAAAAGAATGTCTAGAAACATAACATCACATAGAACCACAGGGCAAGCTGTCATTTTGTGGCCGTTGGCACTGTTTTAAATGTTTGATAAAATGCTAAACAAAGCGGAGACTCATAAGCACACTCCTCAAAATTATTTTAATGGTAGGATGTTTACATACTTCACTTGCTCTTGCTGTAAGAGCAAGGCCTGTTCTGTTCTGTTAATGAAATTCAATTTCATCATGGGTTTCATATCCATAATATACTAGCAACAGTTTTTAGTTTGGGTTTTCTTAAAGTGAGACGGAAACAGTGATATGGATAAAACAAGAACTTGTTTTTCTGGCAGTTCAACTTTTTTAAAGTGTCTTGCCTTTCTTGACTCTTTCTGAAAATTTAATTTATATTTCATGGAACCAGCAGATTTTTTTTCCCCCCCGTGGAACAAGGGATGAAACTCAGGCCCTTGCGCTTACCAGGCAAGCACTTATTCTACTTAGCCATCTCCCCAGCCCCCTGAGATTTTTAACTTTTATGTTCATTTGATTTTCTCCATTGCAATCCTGTAACATGGAACTGTTATCTCCATTTCATAGATTAAGAAACTGAGACATAAATATTACTGTATTTCATTTTGTCTACCCTGAAGTCTGATAATTCTTTTTAATCTGAAGGGTCATCTTTGATGATAGATGTCTTGAAAAAGCAAACAACTTGAGGCTAGACATACAAGATAACCCTCAATATATTATTATTGCACTAGACATTAAATTATTTTTGCAGGACATAATGCAACTGTATTTAAATTTAAAAAACACCTTTCCTTTTAAGCAAAAATTGTTACCGGTTTATTTGACTTTGCACAAAACCTTAACAAAAGTGTCAGAGTAATTTAAATGTTCTACTCAGAAGGCTAGGATTTCAATTCAGATATCAAGCTACCAGTTGTATGGATGAGTAAACCATACTGTCACTCACAGTGTATAGGGGTTTCAGTCCATAATTGGCTGGCTCTGAGGCAAGGTGGCATGACAGAGAATAATTCATGGCGAGCAGAAGGCAGCAAAGCAACAAGAGATGACCTCAGCTCTTTCTGTCCCTTATATTTTACCCAGGTTACTTAGAATTACTTGTACTTTTAATCCTAGTGCCCTGAATCTTGCATTGCACCACGAATCAATCCCAGTGTCACACACTCGAGATACAGCCACCTCTGAAAAAGCCCCACCTATGATTGCAGGAGGCTTTGGGGAGCGATCTAGATACAAGCCAACTTTGGTGCCTTGCCCCCCAAAGACTGCCACACATCCCTTTAAGTGACACTTAGTCCATCTCCAAGAGTTCCCCAAGTCCTATCAGTTTCACCGTTACTGAAAAACTGAAGTCCCAAGTCTTCTCTGAGATTTAAGGCAAGCTCTTAGCTGTGAGCCCCTGAACAAATGAAAAGGAAGTCAAACAAACACTTCCAGCATTCAGCAGCGCAAGATAGACATTACCATTCCAAAAGATACAAATAGAGGGATGCAAAGGAATCCGACTAAAGCAAATCCAGAATCCAGCAGGGCAGATGTTAAATTCTGTAGTCACATGTGCAGCATTCAAGGCAATCTCTGGCAAGATGTGAACTCCAAAGGCCGTGGGTGGCTCTGCCCCTCAGCACTTGGGTAGAGGCATCTCCCATGGCTTCTGTCTTGGGCCTGCTCTGTTCTCTCCTTGCAGCCTTCCTTAGATAACCTACATCCCTGCATTCTCTAAGCTTCTGGTGTCTGCACTGCACCTTCAGCCTCACACTCACAGCTTCACACACTGCCTGGCCTCCCAGGGTTGCATAATGCATAGAGGAGGTTCAATGTAAAGTGTCTCTGGGGTTGTTCTACTCTCTAATTTCTCTGTTTATATTTTGTAAATCCTTCAGGTTGAAATATGCTAGGCAATTGACTTTTCATGAAACTATGCAAATATAGCATAATATTTGATCTCCCCATTTTAGTGAGTTGGATGAAATAAAGAAATCAGAAGTAGCTCCATTGCTAATAAAAATTATACTTGATTATAAGACAAAATATTTTTGAAATTAAGCAGTAATTTTGAGAAAGGAAAGCAAAGGTAAGTTCTTTTTAGTGATCTAGGCAGTAATTCATAGAAAAAGCCTGCATACTATCAACTGTTGGTACGTTGAAGTCACTGTAAAATTTCTGGCTCAACATTCCTTGAGACCTCACTAGACAGAATCGGAATTGTGTAGTGTCCACGATATAACCAGGAAAATACCTTATTTCTGTGTGTGGTCCACCCATCAGGTGGGATCACTGTGAACTGTAACTCCCCTTTCCTGCCAGTCTATCCTAATCCACCTAAGATTAGGCTTAGCTCTCACCACCCCTCAGTCCTAAGGAGTGGTGGCTGGCTCTGTTGTGTCCAGAGTCTCGGCCTGTATTATGTACCTGCTCCTCCGGACTGTCTCAAGCCTGGCTCCCACCCATCTCTCCCCCTCAATTCTTGTTACTTCCTTTACACCGGGCCTGTGAGTATCTCGTCCCTAGTGTACTCCCTCCCGTTTGTGTTGCTCGTGCTTGTCCCTTCTTCCCCGGAGTTTTGCCCTCCCCATCTTTTTAACATACCTCAGCAGCATGTTCTCAGGAGTCTTCTTGCCTTTTCAGCCAGTTTTTCTTTGCTATAGAGTGAAACAGACTTTTTATCTGTGACCCCCACCCCTTCTGCATTTTACGGCCAAGAATTTTTTTAGTTAGCTGAATGTATTCTTAAATACTGAAAACCTGCTACTTCATAACTGGATCTTATAGTAGTTCCTCAGTTGGTATGTCAAATACATGACTAGTGGATGCTGGCTAGTTCAGCACTCAATTTACCAGGTACTTTTTAGATACCTACTGTGTGCCAATCACTTCAAAGTAAAAATATTAAAAAGGTAAATAGAAGATAGATGAGCAAAAGAAATAATCCCAACCATCTAAAAGAAAAACAAAGTAACTCACCTAAGCAAAGTGGGATTTTGTTATCCACCCCAAGTGCAGAGGCAGAGAGGCAAACCTCGGAGTCAGGAAGGGTGTTCCGTGGGTCAGCTCAGCCTGACGCAGGGTCAGATGTGAAGGAAGCAACTCAAAAGATTCACACTTCAGAGAAAGATTCTTTTTTTGGTTTTGTTCTTGTCTCCCCTGTAAAAGTCAGCAAGGTGCATGTTAAGTTTTAAGAAAAAAGTACAGTAGATGGGCACAACGGACCTGACTGTGGCACAGGGACAGGCTCCCGAGCACACTGGTTGTGAGCGTAGGTCCTGCAAGGGCATGTCCTGTCTGTGGCCCTGCTGGTGTGTGATCTTGGGCAAGTTCTTGACGCTTTGCTTTCACAGATGCCTCCTGAAAATACAGATCCTACCTTCCTAGGGCTGTTGTGGGAATTAAGATGTAAATGTTTATAGGGAGGGGTGTGTGTGTGTGTGTATGAGAGAGAGAGAGAGAGAGAGAGAGAGAGAGAGAGAGAGAGAGAGAGAGAGACAGACAGACAGACAGACAGACAGACAGACACAGACAGAAACAGAGACAGACACTGTTGGACCAAGAATATCCATTACTTAGTATTTGGAATAAGAAGCCTTTTTGTTTACCACTAGTAAACTTTAGAATCAAAATGTGGAAATAGTACTTGCTGAGTCTTCATAAGAATAGGAAGTATTGATGCTCTCAGAAATTCCTCATTGGGTATAAAAAGCACGAAATAATGAGTAATATGTGATGATAATTCAGAATTAAAGATTAGTGATAGTATTAAGGCAAGTGGCATAAAACTATTACTATTTTTCTATGAAACCACAGTGAAAGTTTTAAAAGATTTTCCATGAAAAGACAAAGGAATGCCAAAGATTAGAATGAACAAATTACATAAATTGGGTTGTTTTTATCCAGAGTTTATATTATACAAAATGGGATTATCTATGCCATACTTATAAGTAAGCTCTAAGATATGAGTGGAACTAGGGATCAGATTCAGAATGATCAAAAGCAATTTTAAGACTGTGCATTTTTAAATTACGTATTGGTCTGCAGCATGCTAACTAAGTCTTCACATGGAGCTGGAGACAGCAGTACTCATTGTGGAGCATATAACACCCAAAGGAGTTTCCCAAACTTGTTCTGATTTTGGTGGTGCTGGGTGTCAAACCCAGACAGGGCCCTGTGCACACGAGGCACATGCTCTGCCACTGAGCCACCCCACCAGCACTGCCACACATTTATTTTGAGGTAGTCGTCAAGAAGTCTTGACAATAGTTTAGATACTGCTAGGATGGGGCCACGTGCTATGGGTGTGAGTCGGGCTGAGAGGAGCGAGAGGTGTGGGTGGGTGTGCTGCACAGAACTGATGCGCACACCAGCTACAGTGATTAGGGCTGGAGAGGGTAGGTCTGACGTGGCGTGGAGCTCCAGCTGCCTTTAGCCATCTGCAGTGTTGAACAGGGTTTGGCTGGGGAACCAGGGCCAGGTAGGGAAGAAGGACAGTGTGCACAGCTTCGGTCTAGGAACAGAATTGTGGTAGCCATTAATGCTTGGGGAGTGCTTGAGGCCGCCTCTGGATGCATAGGGGTAAGTACTAGGACAGGGCAGCTAGTGTCCATGTTGTGGACAGTAAGTGAGTTTCGAGTGAGGGCTGGGGCAATGTGGGTGTCCCTTGAGTTATGCCTTTACTGTGTATTAACATGATGCAAATTTGTTTCCCCGTACAGGTGGATGATTGCGGCTTCTCTTTGAATCATCCCAACCAGTTCTTTGTTGAGAGCCAGCGGACGCTAAATGGTGGTAAAGACATCAAAAAGGAATCCAGCCAGCCAGAAACTCCTCAAGCCAGATCCAGTGTCCAGAAAACCAAGGATGCATCCTCTGCTCTGGCCTCCTTAAATTCCTCCCTGGAAATGGACATGGAGGCGCTGGAAGACTACTTTAGCCACTAATCTTGGGCAGTTTAGGAGCCTTTTCCTCACTAGCCTAGTTTGAAGATTTTTCTGTTTTTGTTTTTGTTTTTTTGTTTAACTTCTCTTTCTCCCCTAACTCAATCCATGTACATACACATCTGTAAGCCCTATTTTAGAACTGGCTAAAGCCCCCAGGAAAGCTAAAGTCTCCCAGTACAGTTAAGAAGAACTTCTAACTCCTACCATTGTATAATTTTGATCCACTCCTTTTTCTTGACCATTTTTGCTAATAAATACCAAAAGCTATATATTTATATTCTGTGTAATTGGGAGTCTTGCAACACACTGATGATTACGTCAGTATTTAAAGTAGTATTTAGGTGTCTAGTGCCACTGCCACCTACCACCGAGGAGCTTAAACTTCTGTTGTGAGTTGGCTCATCTGTGGTTGTTCTACATCAGCAAGGAGAATTTTGGGCCATTAGATGGTTGCAAACTCTACTGAAATGAACTGTGACCCGAGAATGAAGAGAAACAATTTATACCGCCAGCTGCATTAAGGCCTGGGAATATCACGTGCACAGGGACACTCCTCATTGGTGTCCTTGCCTTTCACTCTGGTTCATGAAGAATAGACTTTCACTGGAGCAAGTTCCTCTGTGTGTTTCCTCCCAACTTGGAACAATTTGTAACTTGCGGTTTCTGGGAATTGCAAATTCTGGTGTGGAGAGTAGCCCTCCTCCCCTCGCCAGCTGTGAGAGGCCAGGTGTGCAGGGCAGGCAGGCGCTGCGTGTGTGCTGTGACGCCCTTACCTGGCCGCGGTGCTACCGGGCATCTCTGCTCACTACTGTAGAAGTAACTCTTCCTTAGTATTTATTTCTTTGGAATATGTGAGAAATTTTAATCCTCCTTTCATGCACCAAAGGCTACTTGTCCTTTATTCTCTTGAGTTAGGTGATAAGCTGAAAAGTTGGCATGATAGTCAGAAAACTGAATTGTTAAAAGCACTATATTGTTTGATTGTGTGATTATATGAAAGGGATTCACGCAAGACCAAGTTGCCAGAACCTAAAAGTATCAGCTAAGTAGGTTTTTATTTTAAGCCCTGAGTCAGAGATTACTTGGCATGTTCAGTAGCATATAATTAAATGAGACACTATCTGAACTGTTGTCTGTATGAATTATTACCTAGCTTAGAAGATAGCTTATTCCACTACCGATTACCTCTGTAAATCTCTCCCTTCTGAAACCATCCGCTAATCTTTCATCACATATAGTTCTCAGTAGGAATCTACTGCCTGCCACTTTATCCAGGAACTACAAAACCTCAAGTTGTTTTTATTTTTTTAGTAATATGAATACCACAGAATTAAGTTAGCTTTAGAGCACTAAGCATAAAAATGTAGATCTCTGTTGTATTTGAGGAAGGAAAATAATAGTGGTCACTCCACTATCGTTTAGTGAGGAGTCTTAGGGCAGGGTGTTTCTTCGCTTTTTCTGTTGCTTTGTGTTCTTTTCTGAATCCTAGACTCCCACCAGCTAGAAGAATAAAATCATTAACAGGATGGGAGATGCGCCGTAGCAGACTATTTATTTTACACCAGCAGCCCCAAGAAATTGTGTCAGCCAGCTTAAATGTTTTTTGTGTCTAGACAAACTTGAGAATGACCCTTGTTTAAATATTAGTTGTATTTACAAGTTCAATTTTTAGTAATAAGGTTTGATCTGTTACATATTACATAAAGAATAGGAACATAAGTCTGCAGATTAGAGGAAAAGGGTTAGAGGCTCATACAAGAAGATAGAAGTTAGTGCTTTTCTGATGCTTTTTGGACTTAGAAAAGGCAATTTATTTTTCATGCCTCACCCGTCTTGACAATTTTGATTTGTTTTCTTTGAAAGCAGACCTATTGGAATCGAATGATCTAGGAACAACCCAAAAGAAAAAAGCCAGCATGCTCTTCAAAACAGCAGCCAGTGAAAAAGAATATGGAGTTTCTAGATCTTTTAACTTATAGTCCTTTATTAGCTCTTCAAGAAAAAGAGGCTGTGTGATAAAGACCAAAGAACCAGCAGAGGGAAAAAGCAGGCTGGGAATGTGTAGCTAGTGGAAGCGCCGTCGCTGTTGGTGGAGTCTGTCGTGTCCCTTTCATGTTTTCCAGGGTCTCCACTCCACACAGGACAAAGCTCTTTATTTGCCATATGTGTAAAAGAACACTGGAAAGCTTAAATCAGCTTTTTAGGACTTCTTAAAATATTATAGAGTCATAAAGTGAATAGTTAATGGATTTTGAGTGCACTGGGAACAGAAGAAAGCACCCAGAAAAATCTTTAATTCATATGGAATGGTAATAACCAGAGGGATTTCCTCCCTCTCAGAGCATGCAGGGCATTTTGCTTGCTGCACGTTTCTCCCTAACTGATACTCGAGATCTTTGCAAACAAACTTCAGTAATTCTTTGCAAAGAAGAAAAGAAAACTTCTGAGATTTAAGCTTGAAAGGCAAAATGAGACAACTCTAAAGTTCTGGTTTGGTTAGAGTCTACTGTTTGCAAATTTAATCAGCAGCTTCCAGAGGCATCAGCTTGACATTAAATTTAAGTGCCCATTAAAGTGAGAGTTTGACAGCAGTTCTGAATGTGAAGCTCAGTCTGAGGACATCTTTACAGCTGGAAGGAAAAAAAGTCAAGAAGCCTCAAACCACTGTGGTAATTAGATCCATTTGTTAACTTTTCTAATGTTGGCAAAGGAAGTGGCAGAGAGGGTTGACAGGCTAAAACCAGGAAGGCAGTCCGTCCAGTGCTCCCTGGAGGGACTTGGACAAGTGCAGGGCCCAGGTTGCCGAGAGCAGTAAATACCCCCGTTGACAAGTGAGCGGATGGAGTTCTGGCCCAGTGCTGTATTTAGTTGCTTCCTTTTCAACACCCTGAGCAGCAGGGTGTGGGGTTACCCAGTGAGCCAGTGTGCTGGGTCTGTTGCGTGCTTAGAAAGCATTATTTGGGAGTCGGACCTCCAGTGGTACACACCTGGCCCCAAGAGTTAGAATTTCTCACAAGGCTGTCTATGTTACATTCAGGTAATTAGATATTTACCCAAAGCATCTGGCCTTCTCTTTTGACAGGCTTTGCCCCAGTGTAAGGTTTCTCACCAAGATTTGTATTGTAGGCAATTAGCTTTGTGACTCTGTGGAAATCATGTCACCTGGAAGAAATTATCTTCTGACTTCATCTGACTCCTGCCAACAGGTAACCTATTTTCTGTTATTACATTTGCTTCTGTTCTGTAAGCTCTTTTTGTCCACTGCTAACAACATGTACAATCTTATCAAAGGCTAAAGCATATGTCTCTATATAAGGCTCCTGCATTTCTTCTGAGCTTGGCAGTACTGTTTTTGAACATTGGTGACAAGGAAGTGAAACAACACTGCTAGTATAATAAATACATGATGGGGTTTTCAACTCAGCCCTGTGCTGTTAGATATTCATGATGCGACCATAAGACTGTTTAAAGTTTGATTTTGTTTTAGTTTAGAAAATACAAATTCAAGAAGTAGTACATTTAGGATTCCTTGTAATAAAAAAAACTATTGCAAACAGACTTTCCTGACCACCTCCCATATATTTATTTAAATTTTAGCTTCTGCTTGAGTCATAGATGATGCTGAAATTAATACTGGTCTTAAAGGCCATAGTGATACATACTTCTTTTTAATCTTCCCTTTCATGAAATCAAATTGTGACTTAAGAATTGCCTTTCACCCTTAGATCTTCCTGTTGCATATAGTTCCTGCCTGTTTGTCTTGTTCCTCTGATCTCCTATTCCTGCACCATTGCTCCTGTTCAAATGCAAGCCAGCATCAATGCCGGGACTGTCTCCACAGCTGAAGATTCTCCTGTGAGCATGGACCCGTCCATCCAGCCACCCTTTGGGCCTCTTCACCAGGGTGCCCCACATCCACTGTACATTCAGGGTGCTCAAAACCAAATTTGTCCTCTTCTGTTTACTTCCCTCAACATGTCTCTTACCATCACCACAGAAGTTCACCTGATTTCTGTTTTAATACCAGTGTGTCTAAACCAGGGAATCGCAACTGGAGGTGATCTTGCCCCACAGGGGACATTTGGTGCTGTCTGGAGACATTTTGGGTTGTCACAACGGGAGAGGCAGCTAGGGAACAGAGGCCAGAAAAGTTGCTTGCCCCTGTGAGACAGCTCCATGTGACAAATGTCTGGCTCACACTGCTATCTGACTGAGGAGCACCCTGTTCTGGGCATTGCCCTCTCCCCGGCACTGCATAGATGACTCTGATCATCATGAGTTCCGGTGAGCTCTAGGTTGCTGTGCTACTCCCTGTCTGCCTTCTCTAGACCCCACCCCAGGCCCTTCCTACAATATAACCAAAGGGCTTTCTCCTGCCTAATGGTTATACTCATATCACTCTCCGGAGAAGAAGTTCTGGACCTGCTGTGTTGTGCATGTGGCCCTCCATAACTTCTCCACTGCTCCACTCCAGTTCCATCCTGCCCTCCACCTCATTCAGTAACCTATACTGTGACTTAAGCATTCCAAGAGATGTGGAGCTTCCTGAGGCAGTCCTGGGCACCTTGTATCTATTCTTCTGTGCTAGGAACACTTTTTTTTTTTTTTTTTTTTTAATTTTTAAAATTCTTTTATGTATGTATTTATTTGGTACAGGATCTCGCTACACAGCGAGTACTCCAAGTGATCCTCCTGTCTCAGGCTCCCTCGTTCTGGGATTATAGGTGTGTGCCACAATGCCCAGTTTCAACATGCGGTACCGGGGATCGAACCCAGGTTCTTGCAATTGCCAAGAAGGTGCTTAGACCGCCAAGCTATCTCCCATGTCCCAGAAACACTTTCTTTGCCTTGCTCCATGCTTTCTGCTTTTTCTGACAGCCCCGGTATGGGCTCATTGTATTTTCTAGGGCATGCATTATAGATCATTTCTCCTTTAAGTTTTGTATGTCAGGTGTTTGGTTCCAGCAACAGAAAACCAACCAGTCAGAGGGACAAAATGAACTCTCTTCCCAGAGCAGAGCCACCGACTCTCTGTAACCTTGGTTGTTTTCCTCAGTTTTCCCAGTGTTCCATTTGCTTTATTTGTGAAGAGGAAATGTTATTCACAGTATTATTCTATTATCTAATGTTACATCTGTGGTGCTTGGAACACTGCCTGGCTCTTGGAAATAGTGGCTAGATGTTAGATGTTGCTATTGGTAACAAATCTTCCCAGCAGGTTATTGCATCTGGGCCTACCACACTGGAGGGCAGACTTCTGAGGCCCTGCCTGAGTGATTCCCACATGTACACTGCACTCGGGTGGCAGAGGGAAACCCAACAACGTCAGCAAAAAAGTACTGATGTTGAAGAGTCTACCTTAAACTGGCACACCTCTGACAGTTTTGTGGGCAGGAAGAGTAGATGGGGAACTGCACACTGAAACTGGAAGGTGTCTTTCGTATACATCCAAGGTGTGAAAAGTTCCTGACCTGGTGTCACAGGGTGAGGTGACCCGCGCCTCAGCAGGTAGCACTCAAGTTCAGTTTCCTCCTAGGGTTGTGATTCCAAGTGAAAGCTTAGACGAGGTAGAAGCTTATTTGCCTGTACCTGAGTAGTACTAAGTGGATCATATCAGGATACTGTGGCACTTCCAGAAGTTGGCAAGAATAGCAAATTATCTGCATTTTCTCTGAAAAGGTTAATGAGCTACTGAGAGTTTAAGTTTTCTGACTTTGCCTGGGGGCTCTGGCCCAGCCAGGCACTGATTCCCGGCCTGTGTACTTTCCCTCCTGAAGACCGCATTGTGTTGTGAAGTCAGCCTCTTCTGTCGGGAAGCCCCAACAGCCTCAGTAAGAACAATTCTGTTTTATTGTCTTTGGCAGATTAATTCACCTTCTTAATTCAGTTTCTTCATCTATAAGTTGGGATATTACCTACTTCAGAGAATTAGTGTGAGATTAAATGAAATAGTGAGTATCAGATGCCTTATACACAGGCTAACATATTGTAAGTACTGCATAACTGTTAGCTACTAGTGTGGAAGAATTGTTCTAAATTTAGTTTGAAGGCCTTATCCAAGTGAAGCTCATAAACTACAGTAGATGTAATATTTGTATATTAAAGGGCAAGGCAGGGTTTTAATTTTCTTCTAGAATAAAAATTGCAGACCCGGCTGCCCTGGGAGGCTGCGGAGGCTGCAGGGGCCTTCGGCTTCGGACGCTGGGCGGGCGCTGACGGCTGCTCCATGGCCCCCGCCGCCGCTCCGTCCTCCCTGGCCGTCAGGGCCTCAAGCCCAGCAGCCGCCCCCTCCTCGTACGGGGTCTTTTGCAAAGGACTCTCCCGCACCCTCCTCGCCTTCTTCGAGCTGGCCTGGCAGCTGCGCATCAACTTCCCCTATTTCTACGTCGCAGGCTCCGTGATCCTGAACATCCGCTTACAGGTACACATATAAAGCCGCGAGCAAGCTGAGGGGCTCCGGAGGCCACCAGGATGGCGGACTCTC